GGAAGTTGCCCTGGCTCTGACAGAGCCCTAATACCCTGAAGTAAACCACCTTCTGTTTTTGCAGAGGAAGACTTTTTTCTTTCCTTTGAGATCTAGTTCCAAAGCAGAAGCTGGATCCCAAAAACTTGTGTTAATAGAGCACAAGTCCAGCAGGTACATGGTGGAACTTGGGTAAGAAAATCAAGTAAGCAATTTAGCTCAAGAGAAAATCTGTCAGGGTTTGACTGTATCTTGAAGTTCTCCTAAGCAGTCTCCATAGGTTATTAGACTGCATCTACCTTTTACAACCCTGGTTTATGCACAAAGGAAGGGTCTGCAGTTTCCTGTAATCAGTAACATTCCCAGTTAAAAGAAACCCAAACAAAACAAAACAAACAAATAAATAAAAAACAAAAACCATCACCCAGCCAGAGGCTCAGCCGGGGAAAAGGGTGCCTGGTTTGCATCTCTCGGGAACAGCGACTGTTCTGTCACAAACTGTCAGTACTGAGCTGTGATTCCAACCAGTACCATGCGCTCTCCTGGCTCACATCCCGCTGATTCCTTTCTGGTACTGGCTATCCAGAGCAGTTTTGCCATTGAGCCCTGTAAGAACCTGAACCTGCTACGTGGTTCCCAGCAGGAACAAAGAAAGCAAGCCCAGATTGCAGGAGAAGTGGTCTGGACAAGAAATAGGAATCTCTTGTGTGATGTGATTCTACAGCCTGTATACAGCCTATCCCACAACACTTACCAGTGTCAGTATTGTGGGGTAAAAAAAACCAAAACAACCTCGACTGCTGGGCTTTTACTAGAATTTGGGGGGGTTTTGCAGCTTTTAAGATAAAACACTCTTTTTCATAGTTCTTGTCTAACCACTTCAATACTGCGTTCCTTTCCTTTCTCTACCTCTGTTTCTTATCAATGCAGACGGAATGGGAAGCTTTAGAATTGACTGATCATCAGTGGGCCTTAGAAGATGTAGAAGAAGAGCTCATGGCAAAAGACCTCCATTTTGAAGGCATGTTTAAGGAAGAACTTCAGACCTCCATCTTCTGAATTTGAGAATATGCTTTTGTCTCTCCTTGTAAAAGTAATTTGAAAAGAGATCTGATACTTAAAATTATATAATGTATTTTAGCAAGGCTGAGAATAAATGAAACCCACCATGTTCAGAACTGCAGCTGCCTAACTCGGATTTGAGCCCCATGACCGACTATGTTGTATTTGAGCTAAAGGGAGGCAGCATGGGTTCCTAGCTGGAGTTCTGTTTCTCTTCCTGGAAAACGTATTAAACAAATGCATAGCCCAGTTATCCTTTCCTTTTGAACAATTAAGATAATATCATCATGTTAGCAATTCAAAATTGACATGGTGACAAAGTATCTAATACATCTTCAGAAGCGGTGTGGGGATTCGGTTTCTGAAAGCAGTGGTTGTCCTTCCTCTTCATACTCTTTTTTTCCTGTTAAAATAATTGGCGTTTGAACCTTTCTCAGAACAAAAACAAAAGCAAGAGGGAGATACTCACCACTTGGCCACAGCAGAGCATGGGAGAGCTCACCTTCCTCTCGTATCCAAGCCTGCAACAAGGCTCCCCAGTGCTGCAAAATCCCGTCTGCTTTCTTCTCCCTGGTCAGCCTGCTGGTGGACACACCGGTGGTCACGGGTGCAATTTCTGGCCCCCTCTCGTTGCTTTTGTTCCTGGGTCCAGGGGTGCCCAGCTGTTCCCTGTAATTCCTGTTCAGTTATTTACTGGTGCCAGGTGGGGAAAAATAAATACCTTGTTTTAAGGTTCCTGCCTGACCACCTTGCACTGTAGAGAATGGGGAGCAACTGCTCCTGACTTGTCCTTCTTCAGGAGCTCCCCAGCTGTCTCTTCCCCAGGAGAAGAGTCCGAACCTAGGAAATGCTTCTTCAACAGAAGCTCTTCCATACTTGGTGGCTGTTATTTTTTTCCCCTCTTTACTCTGAGTCCTTCTTTTGGGGGTGAAATTGCACACCCTCCTCAAAACAGGAGCTGAGCCAGGACTGAGACAGAGCCTGTTTTCTGTTCTTGCCAAAACCAGCTCCTCTGAACAGGAACTTCAGCTCAGAGATGTTCTTCTCTGCCTCAGAGCTAGTCACAGCACTTCACTGACAACACAACTTGTATTTCAGGTTATTTTTCTCTGCCTTTCGCAATGGGGGAATTTCATTTCACTTCGTGTCCTCAGTGCTCTTGTATAAGCTGTCCCTGCGAGCCTGCGCAGAACACCCAAACACCTCCATGTCCAAAAGCTGCCACTGTGCTTTCCCTTCTTCCCCTGGGAAAAAAACAAAACAAAAGAAACAGAGGGAAGGCCAGAACCCTCCTTGAGATCTGCAGAGGAAGCAGAATGATGAGTAAAGCCACAGCTGAGGCTGCCTAGAGCCACAGAAAAGCAGGGATGGGCTTTGCTACAGCACCAGAGAGCAGCAACCCAGCACTGCAGGGGCGAAAAGGCAACCCTGGAGCAAGCACCAGCCCTCAGCTCTAGAGAGCAATGGCTGTTCCTCCCCAAATCCCCACGAGGAGAGCAGGGAAGGGTTGGCTCTGAAGGACGCGTACTACACTGGCTCAAAGAGCTCCTGGTGCACCAGGCATCCTCACAGCCAGCACTCTCAGGTCACGGAATGAAAGCCAAAAACAGAACAAAACCCAGTTTCAGTGCAAACCACTCTTTAATTTTCATCTTTGTACAATAGAGCCAGCCACTTACAAAGTGCTAGTCTAAAAAACAGGTCTGGTATTACAGCACACACACACACACCAGCCGAAGCCCATCAGCTCAGAGGCAGAGAAAGTAAGAGCTGTGCCACTTTTTCTGCAGTACAACAGTCTGTTCAGCATCTGAGCACTGGAGATTTAGCCCCTCTGATGCATTTCTCAGGGTCGGCACAGGTAAGGAGGCAAGGAGGAGAACAAAAGCCATCTCAGACTGATTTTTCTTTTAAAAAGGTCTTTTACTGCCCTCCCTTTCCGTTCATCCCCACTTTGGAACGCCTACGTTTTTCTTTCAAGGAAAAATGAACAAAAAAAGAGCTGATCAGAGTAATTTAGTGCAGTGCTACAACTTACAAATTGCTTTTTGGATGATCGCCTCAGTAACAAGGGAAAAAAAACCAACAGAAATACAGTACTGAGAGTTGTAAAAATCCCAGAAAACCCCAAAACCGAAACAGCAGAAGCAATTAAGCAATTCTCATCTCAGAATTTAAGTTTCAATGCTTTAAAAGCAATATTCCACAGGAGAGGATCACAACGCTGGTGCGCCAGCTAGAGGCAGCCCTCCCTCCTCCCCTCCAGCGCCTTCCAGCCCCCTGACTAAGGAGGTGCCTGGTGTTGCCCTCCCTTCCCAGTACTCAGAAACGACGACAGCGAGGAGCTAGCTGGGCTTTTGCTCAGCTGCAGCACAGCAGAGGCACAGGGACCAGCACACAACGATTTCCTACAGGGCTTGTCACCGAGAGCTCTGGAAGGGGAGCTGAGCTGGCATACTTGGGAGTTGGAACTAGATGATCTTCAAGGTCCCTTCCAACCCAAACCACTCTGATTTTATGCTTTGGAGTTAAATGGATGACTGCTGTTACGCCGACAATCAGAGAAGGTTATGGTCAGCAATGAAGCCACAGGGACTGTGCACGGAGCACCAACCAGCTGCAAGCACACATTTTGAGGCAGGGGTGAAAAGAAGAGCAGGAGCCTGTCTTAGGCTTTTGTTCTGCCAACGCACTTGGCTCTTAAGAAGGAAAAACGCTCCTGCTCCCCTCACCACCTGGAGCTAGATCTTTCCCTAGAAACTACAGACTAAGGCCCTAGATTTTTCCCATTTTTCACACAGAAGATCAGTTCTCCACTGAGGACTGAACTGATCTAGTGCTCACAGCAGTCCTCATTCAAAAAGAAAACCGGATTCTAGCCCTCCAAGTAACAAAGAGAGTAAAGGAGAAAAGAGAAGAGCATTTGCCAGTTGCACCAAAAGGCTGAAGCAGAACTATTGAACTGCCGAGGTAAAGAGAGACCTCGGATGGGATCATCAATCACTCCTGCAGCCTCACAGAAGCTGATGGGGTGAGAATCTAAAGGTCAGTGCTCCAGGGAGGAGGAGAAAGGCTGAAAGAGCAGTCAAAAAAACCCAAAAGTCACAAAAGAAAGGTTGAAAACTCGCACAGTTCATCGCATTGGGTTGTCATCCTTCTAGGTGACAGCTCTAGGGATACACTGCTAAGCTTTGCGAGAGAAAAAGCTCCAGGGGGCCCCATAAAAAAGAAAAAAAAAGGGGATTAAAAAATGCTGCCGCTGCACAAACCGCAGGAGAAATGGTGGAGGAAGAAAAGCGCTTACAGGACAGCTTGGAAGTGAGGGGAGCATGAGAGGGATGCAGAGGACAAGAAATC